GACAGCGGCTTCGAATGATAAGGCTTTAAAGGAGGGATAGGTGCTGGAGGTGTTCGGCACACCTGCTAAGGACTTCACCGAACCCAGGGCGACGCATCAGCCTGTACCAGGTGATGAACCCATTGCTGCGGAGTTGGGGATAGTCCCCTGCGATAGACAGAGACGCGTCGACCCCTCGCTGCAGCGATTCAGATCGACGGATGCAATGGTGGCTCTGCCCATGATCACTCATACGGCTATGCATGATGGACATCTGGCGGAACTTGACCTCGCCATTTGCGAGGGCGATCAGGGTGGGATCGCTTCTACCAGCTCTGGGGTGGTATCTAGCACGCTGGACCTTGCTAATTTATTTGCTGCACTGACAAGTTTGGCTGAAACGGGGAATGACGTGGTCCTTACGACTGGAAAGGGGATTAGTCGCTCTGCAGGGGCAACTCCAGTCTCGTCCCCACGTACGCAGGATGCTTACTTCGGAAGGCGGCATTTAACATCTGATCTTCGCGATGTGGATATCAACACGGGGCAGCTCCGTGACTTCAAAACTATTCTGGATACTCATGTTTTGCATTTAGAATTATTTGGAGACGAATACCCTCGGGGTGCATTTCTGGGCATTAAGGATATGGAACTCTTAAACAGTATTGCGGCCATACGTATCAAGAAAGGAGGCAGATCAACAAACTATAATAAGAGGCTGCAGTTATTCTTCTCTCTAGCTAAGTCTTTTCCATCTATCCAATGATTAACCCTATGAACTTTCTGGTGTGGAATGTCGGTGGGGTGTCACGCCGTGACTCCCAGTGGTATCTAGTTAGATTATGCTTCAAGTACCATGTTCGTATATTAGTTTTAATTGACCCCATTACTGATGCATCACAAATCGACATGATTCGTCGATTGCTGAAATTTTCCCAAGCTCGATGTTTCTTAGACGGAAGGATTTGAATTTTCTGGTTTGACGACTTTTCTATTACCTTTCAAGAATTTGGTGATCAACTGGTCCATTTGTCCGTCACTTACCTCCAAAAGTATTCTTTCCATTTCTCTGCTGTCTATGCGAAATATACAATAGTGGCTAGGTGAGCTTTGTGGGTTGCTATGGAGAATATCGAAAATCTTATCACTGGGTCTTGGATGGTAACGGGGGATTTCAACACAATTACTACAGTGGATGAAAGGTCAGGTGGTTCTCCTCCTATTACCCGGAATATGGAGGAGTTCAATGAAGCTATATCCCTTTGTGGCCTGTCTTCATTAGAGTTTGATGGTCCAATTCATACTTGGACGAATGGGGTGTTGTGGCAGCGACTAGACAGAACTTTGATAAATGACGAATGGGGAGATTTATTTGAGGTTTCGAAAACTTCGCATTTAGATCGGGGACGATCAGATCATGCGCTGCTCTTACTAAAATGTGGTTCGAGTTTTTCGCGGGGTACTTCCTTCAGATTTTTAAATGTCTGGAGAAGTCATCCTCAGTTTGTACAAATTGTTAAGGAGGCATGGGACGTCCACATCCAGGCATCGGGAATGGAACGATTTTTCTAGAAGTTGATGCATGTCAAGGCCAAATTGCGCATCTGGAGTCGAAATTCGTTCGGGAACATCTTTCAGTCAGTACAACAAGCGGAGGAGGACCTACGGTGCCGAGAGACCGAATATAATACCTCTAGGGATGTTGCATCAATAATTAGGCTGGAAAAAACAAGAGCTCTTCACACTTGTGCTCTTTCCATCGAGTGTGAATTTTGGCGTCAAAAGGCCTCAATTAAATGAATTTAGACTGGTGATGCCAACACCAAATTTTTTCATCTCAATGTTAAACAAAGGTGCAGCAACAACTACATTACTCAAGTTAAGAATTATTCAGATGTTTGATTAGAGAGTGATGTCCAGATTAGACAATCGGCAGTCCAATTTTTCTCGAATCTCCTTTCCTTCGATCGTGACGTTCAAGCAGCCCCACACCTCAACTTTTCGATCCCACGGGTGCAGGCAGTGGACAACGATACCCTGCAGAAGATCCTATCGCGAGAGAAAATCAAAGATATCGTTTTTTCCCTGTTAGTAGATGGTGCCCCCGGCCCTGATGGTTTCGATGCCGGGTTCTATCAGTCGTGTTAGCCTATTATCCAGGAAGATCTGTATCTAGCAGTCAAGAATTTTTTCCAGGGTAGGCAGCAGCCGCGAGTTTTCTCCAGTACAACTATTGTTTTGATCCCGAAAGTGGTGGAAGCTTCGAGATGGAGGGACTTTCGGCCAATTAACTTATGCAATGTAAGTTCTAAAATTCTATAAAAAATTTAAGCGTCCCATATTAGCTAACTCCTCCCTAAGCTCATTTCCCCATAGCAAGCTAGTTTTGTTCCGGATCGCAGTATTTCAGATAATATCTTGCTTGCCTAAGAGCTCATATTGGATCTGGATAAACGGCTGAATCATTCTAACCTCATTCTAAAGTTGGACATGGAGAAGACACATGATCGGATCGAGTGGAGTTTTCTAATATTCATGCTTCGCCAGTTTGGCTTTGAGAAATGGTGTGTCGACCTTTTATTCCGTACACTGTCCAACTGCTAGTTTTCTGTCCTTATTAATGAAGCTCCGTCGGGATTCTTTAAGTCGTCCAGGGGTGTCCTTCAAGATGACCCGCTCTTGCCAGCATTTTTCGTGCTCATGGCAGAGTTCTTCACTCGGGGTATCCATCACTTATTCTTGCAGAATGAGAGGATATTCTATGCCTCTGCTGGATCCTATATTCCTTGTTTGGCCTTGGCGGACGATGTTCTGGTCTTTGCACGGTGCTCCGCTGATTGTGTGGGGAGTCTTTCCGATTTTTTCTCTCAATACCAACTATTCTCTGGACTGCGGATTAATGCTAGTAAAAGTACCTTCCTACTGTCAAACAGGGCATCCCAGGAACAACGGAATTTGGTGGCGGCAACATTGGGCTTTCAGCGACAATCTTTCCCTTTCACTTACTTAGGGGCACCTATCTCCTGAGGCCGTTCGATGTGTTTATTGTTTGATGGGATTCTCGCTAAGATGCAAGCTAGACTGAGCAACTGAAGCTCCAAAGGGCTATTTGCAGGGGGTAAGTTAATACTTCTCAGACATGTTCTTTCTTTCCTCCTCATGTATATACTGCAGGTACTTCAGCCGCCAAAGGCGATTTTCATCAAGTTGGGGAGACTTTGTAATAGTTTTTTATGGGACCATGGTGTAGACGCCCAAAGAGTACATTGGTCCTCCTGGGATAAATTATGCTTTCCGGTTGCGGAAAGTGGTCTCGGGTTTAGATTGTTTGAAGACATGTGCTCTGCATTTGCTTGTAAACTCTGGTGGCAGTCTAGGGTGAATGACTCGATTTGGACCAACTTCATACATCAAAAATACATCTGGGGAGTGCATCCTAGCAAAGCGACAGTCCACAGGCCTCCCCTCTCCTGGCGGAGGTTGGTCGCGATTCGAGATGTTGTGGAGAGGCAGATTCGTTGGTGTTTGGGGAGAGGTTTTGTGGACTTTTAGCACGACATATGGTTGGGGGAGGAGACGGTGGCGGAGATGCTTGGTTTTCACAATCCCCCGCACATGTTTGCTGTGAAATTTATTATCCAAAACGAGTGGAATGTATCTAAGCTCCTCCAGTGGCTGCCTATGCGTGTGGTTTGTCGGATACTTGACACGCAGGTCTTCCCGCATCTGGAGGACAAGATGGTTTGGTTGCCTTCCTCCTAGGGGCTCTTTACGGTTAAATCAGCATGGGACTTACTTCGAACTAAGAAGAACTCGTCTGTGGTATGTAGGGCGGTGTGGTGTACCTTCTTGCTTTTGAAGATCGTGTTTTTTTCGTGACGTGCCTTACATAATTTTCTGCCATTAGATCTTACCCTTCGTCGGGGGGGGGTAGCCTTTCCTTCTCAGTGCTATTGTTGCTCCTCCCACGAGGAGTCTTTCCTTCATTTGTTCCTCACTGGTCCTGTTGCTTATGAGGTCTGGGATTGGTCCAAAAGGCAATTTGGCATCCTAGCCCTAATGCACTTAGGATTGTCAATGGGGCTGGGCCAGCCCGAGCTCGGCTCGCTCGACCCGATAGAAAACCCGATGAGCCCGATCATTTAGTGAGCCGATCTGAGTCTGAGCCTAAAAATTAGGCCCGAATTAAATGTGAGCCGAGTTTGGGCCTTATTAGGCTCAAACCCGATATAGGTCCGACCCTTTAATTACCTATATATATATAATATTTATATTTTGATATTATGTATAATTATATATCCAAATATATTATTACTAAATACTAAATATATACATAAATTACAAAACACAAAAATACATCTAAAAACTCTTTCATGAGTTTTCTTGAGAGCCAATATTGGTAATGCATAACTAAATCTCTAATTTTTCTTATTGGTTGAGTAAATTTTTGTATTGGCATAATATTGGTTGATTTTATTTTGGTCTACAAACACAAAAATCATCAAGCATATTTGGATTTAAATCACAAGATTATAAAAAAAGTTTCAACTTTTAAAGATGTATTGGCTTATGATCGCATGTTTTATTACTATTTTTCATGCATTTTGAATGGATTAAATATAAATATTGTTGAAAATTTTTTGGTTTATATACGTTTTAAGAACTATTATTTGTTCATGTTTAGTTTTAAGATTATAGTCTTGTAAATGTTAAATTAGTTTTACAACTTAATAGTTATAGTAATTATATTAAGAAAGTTAAGAAGTAATAAGTGAGTTTGGGCTAAACCCGATTAAGGCTCACAACCCGAATATTATGTGAGTTGAGTATGAAATTCACATTTACGAACCCGAAACTCATAGCCCGAAACCCGAAAATGATTCAAATTAAATGAGTTGAGCTTGAACTCATCAAAACCCGGCTCATTAGGCCCGATTGACAGGTCTAAATGCACTCCTCTCTCTCAGCAATGTTCATGTCTTGGTTGGGCTATGTTGGGTTGGGATCGCTGAATCACATTCATGGTTATGCCAGCTATTGTAGTTTGGTTTCTCTGGAAAGCGCGTAACCATGCACGACATGAGGGTGCGTCATTTCAGGCTCGTCAGGTCATTCTGGACATTGATAGCTTTGTGGTACAGCTTGGTCGAACCGGAGTCCTATTACCCAAGTGTTTCATTGGGGACCTGGAGCATCCATGGTCTCCAGACGCAGGTTTTCGCCCCAAACGGTTCAAGGTTTGTGCTGTGCCCTGGTCGAGACCTCCACTCAACAGGCTCAAACTCAACACGGACGCTAGTGTCTCTGGTGCAAGTGCTTCGGGTGGAGGGCTAGTTCACGATCACACGGGGCATTTGGTCTTTGCCTTTTATAAGGAGTTTAGGGAGGTGGGCACTCTGACTGCAGAGGCTCTCTCCTTATGGCATGGACTTTTGCATTGTCAAGGATAGAAACCTTACCGGTCTTCTCGTCGAGGTCGACTCGGAGGCCTTGGTTCGTTTGTTGCAATCTGGTGCCACAGCCAAATGGCCTTTGAGCAATACCCTGCGTAGAATTCGAGGCTTATTAGTTGATTGTCGTCCATGGTGCGCCATGTTCTCAGAGAGGCGAAGAGTTGCGCAGACAAAATAGCAGGAGGAAAGCTTCAAGTTGACACTGTCTTCTCCTCGGTCCAGCAGCTTCCACTGGATGTTCAGACAGCCTTGCAAATGGATTGTTGGGAGGTCCCTTGTACTCGATCCTGGGTTGTAAAGTACTTCATCCTCTATTGTTCAAGGGCCGTAGGCTCTTCTTCCTAGCAGGCTTTGTAATGTCTCTACTCTCTCTAATAAAGTAGGGGGTTGGCAACCCACCCGCATTCGGATTTTGCAAAAAAAAAAAAATGATCACTACCATCAACAATGCGTACGCCCAAAAACATAGAATTTGTTTAGGTGCCTTTAGTGACATACAGACAAAATTGTTGCAATACATTGATGCATCACAAATTATTTGAATTTCTTGGAAGGAAAAAAAGATGTTTGCATAAATACATACATAAAAGTGAAAAGATTCAAATTGTGAAAATAGTTTTGATTAAAATAAAATCTGCAAACTATACTATATGATTCAAATTAGGTAATGTATCTTATCACCCAAACATAAAAAATAAATCAATTGATTCCATTATGATTAAGAATTCATTTCTATATTTTAATAATCCAAATTCTAAAAATTCTTTATTGCATGTCAAAAAATCACTCATAAGTATATAAAGACAACAAAATATTTACAAAAGGAATTAAATAAAATACAAAATGTAGATAATTACCTTCACAATCTAAGTGGAGAATAATAAGTCAATAAGTGAATCATGTTTCAAAACCTTTCAAATAGAAACCTAAAAGTTTAAAGAAATGTTTCTCCAATAAAACAAAAGGTTGGTCTGCATATAAATGAAGAAAATAAGAATGTACAACAAAAATTTGGCCTTAAGAAGTAAATTGACGTAAAATACAAATTACTCTCAAAGTATTAAGAGTAGCACAAAATTTATTTATTAGAAAAATAAACAGCAAGAAGTAATATAATCTAATACAAAAGTTTAATAATAAACACACTAGTTCATGTAATTATTCTTAGTAAAGTAATCAAGTACAAGCTAGTTTATTACGTTATCCTTATTTATCCAAGTTTTCATCAATAGTAAAGTATGTCATGGTAGCAGTAGGTTTTCTTAGACAATAGTCTTCATAAATTAACACTTTGCTAGTTAAGGTAGTCGAAAACAATGATGCTATGCATTTTTTCAACTCATTCGAAAGAAGTATTTTATAGTAGCTTTGCTTCGTTGAACCTAGAAAAGAATTTTCTTTCCACTCCTTTAAGAGTTCTATTATCAAATGAAAATATGTTAAATCTAGCATAAAAATTAATCAAGTCTTTGTTTAAGGTTGCAGTTAAAATTCCAACGACCTAAATGTATAAGAACAATTGGAAGTTTATTTGTTTTGACCTCTCACATAAATTTTAGCTGTTTTTACTAAATGTTTGATTTTTTATTTGATGGAAAATTTTAATATTCTACATAAGTATATGTCTTTCTACTTTTGTTATTATTCTCGTCTTTTAAACTCCTCATCTGAATCTATAGCATATAAATTTCATTGACCTGAATATATAAGAAAAATTAGAAGTTCTTATATATCTGTTTTGACCTTTCACATAAATTTTAACTGTTCAACTACATGTTTGATTTTCAGTTTGATGGAAAAATTGATTATTCTGCATATATATTTACCTTTTTCCTTTTGATACAATTTTTGTCTTTCGAACCGCTTATTTGAATCTCTACTATATGATTCTTTCTCAACCCATTCTCTCTAAAATTGTTAGGGAGACTATGGAGCAAGATAGAAGAGAGAAATGTGGTTCGCAGTTAAAATCTATGATGGGTTCCTTTTTTTTCCCATTATAGATTATATTTACTATAAGTAGAGGAATAATAGATCTTTCATTTGATGCCAAGACTTTTATGCATGGCAAACATTGAATTGCATTTTAGCTGCAAGTTACTCAATACACTTCTTAACACATCAAATAGAGAAGCCAATTTACAAATTCTGAAACATCATTGAAAACTTGAAGTATCCTCCAATGTTTTTCCCTTAAATTTTGTCTAATTTCGTGGTGCAACTCACTCTATGATTGATTATGGATAAAGCTAAACAACTAACAAAATCTAGATCACTTAATAAAGCTTCAATGGTGTTGCTGAACAATTTATTATCTTTACAATTTGCAGTCTTGTTGATTTGCATTTCAATGAATGGGATTATGTACTTAATGATAGTTTACATTTAATCTTAATTTAACTTTGTTTTAATTGTTATACTGACATAATAAAGATGCCAATATTTTGGGTTGTTGTAATAGTTAGTGGGTTACTTGAACTTGTCATTAATTTCAACTCTATATGGCTTTTAAATTAAACAAGTGCTACCACTTACAAACATTTATGTAAAGTTATCTTGGAGTGATTGTTGATATATATTTCAAAAGAAAATCAAATATTGCTTAAGCTTTCTGCCTTCTCCTGTCCTGACACTATTTGAGACTTGTCTAAGATATTGATGTTACAATTAACTTATCACACTTTTTACACTTTAATTGCAGTGTGGTTGGTTCCTTAAACAAGTTTCCTATTTCTATTGCTAGAATAATAACTTTAAGGTTCCGGTCACTCTTCGCAATTTCGTCAATAAAGCATTTGGTGACTCTATTGTCAATCTAATTTGCTAAAATTTTCAATCAATTATTTTATTTGATGCATTGAAAATAACTTGATACAAATTTTTATGTTTATTTGTTGAAATATTTTTTATCAGGGTAAAGATGTCGTGATACTTTACAAGGCCAAAAGAAGGTGAAAACCTTCGAAATCTATAGAATTTCTCCTACATCAAGAAGTTGGAGTTATTAAAAGAAAAAAAAAGGTTGAAATAGGTCACTTGTTGATGTGACTGATTTCAACCTAGTTTAAATGACACACCAAAAAAATTGAGCTCGAAATAGAGGCTAGCAAATGATGGTCAATTCATGTGTCATGGTCCACAAATAAATGGCATCAACATAAAAAAATCTTTAAGTAAATATTCAGTAAGAAAAACCTCAATTTACAACATTAAAAACTTACTACTACATAGCAAATGCATTTAATTGACAAATTAATAAACATTTATTAACTTCTTCCAAGCTAACAAAAGAAAAATAAATTAAATTTTAGTAACACTAAACTTTAACTTCAATAGGAACCATGAAGAAAGATACTAATATACTAGTTCTCTTTAACATCATCTTACATGCTAAATGCTAAAGGTACAAATGTAATCCGCCAATGAAAAAAACATTGAAGGAAAGAAATAACTATCTTAGGCCTAGTTTGGGAGTTTAGAAGAGGAGATAAAAGAAAAGGAGAAAACTTAAGAAAGAGGAGAAAGGATTGCAATTCCCATTCATACTATTTGGGAGTAATAGGATGGAACATTGTATAAGTGTATATTTTTATTTAGCTATCCCCAGTTTCAATAGTGTCGATGTTTATTGTAATAAGAAATATGGCAATTCAAGTCTTTTTAATGCTATTAGAACACTTTTCTTCTATTTCTCTTCACTTTTGGAGAGAAAATTTCCATAAGACTATTCCTTCGCATTTCTCTATTCCCTTTCTTTTCTCTCCACTTAAAATTTTCAACTAAGAGAAAAGTCTCCTCTTTCTCTTCTTTTCTCTCTATTTCTCAATCCTAACTAATTTTTAGAAATTAGATAGTCACATTATTTAGGAAATAATTTATAAGTAATTATCAACGGTTGACGTGTTAAGAAATTAAGCATGTGGGGAAAATTTTTTATTGGTATGTTTATTATTTTGTTTTTCTTTTGAAGTAGAAATATCTTATTTTTTGTTATTTTTTAAGCAAAAACATCTTATTTTTTATATATCAATGATTTTTCTCTATTCTTTTTGTGCTAATTAGTTATTTTGTTTTTCTTATAAAGTAGAAATATCTTATTTTTGTTATTTCTTTTGTTTTTCCTTTTAAGCAGAAAATATGTCATTTTTTTTTTATAAATTCATTATTTTCATCATTTCTTTTGGTGCTAATCTAGTCTCTAGTTGGTTGGACGTTAGGAGTGAGGAGATCATGGCCCAAAGTCAAAAGATGTCAAGCCCTATTGAATAGATGAATGTAATCAGCAATTTTGAAAAATTAATCACACTTACCTTAAGATATCTGTCCAACATATCTTTCTTACGTTTTCCTTTATTTTGTAGTGTTTCCAATTAAATGATGTCATGGCAAATAATTGTCTTTTTAACTTATTTTTCTTTAGACAATTAACCTTTTGATTTTTTGACATGAAAATATTTATTTTGATAATTTATCATTTGTGGCACTTTCACAAAATTCCATATTACTAAATGGTATTGAGTTTAGACAAAATATCTCTTACGGTTATGTTCTTACACCTTCTAATTTTTTTTAGTTTTTCTATCACTTGGAGGCCTAATAGCCAATTATTAAGAAATTTTTTGGATCACGTTCTTATACTTCGCATCATTCTTTGACCAATTTGCTTGTGTCTAATGCTCAAATTAACTTTTTATGTTTGCAACCTGAAATCAGAAACTTTATTTAACACAATATTATGTCAAATTACTTATCTATACATTACATGAATACTTATCCAGTAAGTGGAAGAATATTGTTTCATATAGCAAAAAACTACTAAAATTTGAAATGTTTAATGTTGACAATAACTTCAATTAATGTGTAAATTATAGCAAGTATTTTTTAAAATTTTTTTGGTTTCAAAAAGATAAAATTAGAAAAGAATCCACAAGTATGAAAAATAATTTAGAAGGAAATGTTTAAATGCTGAATGGGCACATGTCTGGTAATACTCATTC